TCCTGAGAACTTGTGCCAGATGGCTCCAGGGTGGGAAATCCAGGATGGGACACCAAGGATGGGACCCAGCAGCTCCCAGTGCTTCCATGCCACCTCCTCAACCATCTCCTACCTCTCCGGGGTGGAGGTGAGCCGGAACCGAGCCTTTTCCCGGGGAACCCCTGTCCGGATCCTTCCGGCACCACGGCAGCCGGATGCCAGCAGCCAATGCCCTGTGGGAAAACAAGAGGTTGAGAGTGGACAGAGCCCCTCCCCAAGGGTGCTGTGTCCCCAACCACTGTCCCCACACTTGTCCCCACCTGCTGCAGCCAGGACCAGAAGAGTGGAGATTGCTGGGATGCCGAGGGCGCTGGAAGCGAGGAAGAGGAGAAGAAAGGTGGCCTGGAATGATGCTGGCACCAGTGGGAGAACCAGGAGCGTGAAGTATGAGCTGTGTGGGATGCAGGAGGAGATGACACTTTGGCTCTGACCTGTGGGATGAGGAAGAAGAGCCTGGTGTTGGAATCCAGCAGCTCCCACCGATCCTCCAGCCCCCATTCCCGCTCACCATCCAGGTCAGGGATGGCTTTGAGGTGTTCCAGGTGCTTTTCCAGCCGGCTTTGTGTATTTTCCAAGGCTGTCAGCATCAGCTCCAGGCTCTGGTTGACCCTCTGCAGCTTCTCCATCACCTCCTGAAGGACCAGGATGCTCTCTGGACATGGAAAAGATGGAAACAGCAGTGGGATGAGCTGGGGAAGATGCACCCCAGTGTGAAAAAACCTGGGAATGGGATTTGCTGTGTTCCCACCTGGTTGGGGATGAACATCCTGAGGTCTTTCCTGCTCCTGATGGAGGTTGGATGGGACAACCTGGTGTCCTCCCTGGAGCTCTGCAGCCCCACGGCTGCTCCCATTCCCTGTGGGGTGGGAAAAGGAGTTGGATCAGTCCCAAAGTGGGATATGGGAATGTTGCAGCATCCCAACCTTCACTCATACCCATCCGGTGGGCGATGTCCTGCACAAGCTGGGCCACGGGGATCTCATCCAGAGCTGACCTCATCCAGGTCTCCCAGAGCTCCTCCTGAGGTGGATATTTGGGAGGTGATGATGGGGAAATGCTGGTTTTCCCCATGGACACCCCAAATGCACCCCTGGGTGCTCCCAGCACACGATGGGGGGACAGAGGAGGGGGTTTGGGGATCTAAAATATGGAAAAAGGTGTGAACTCACCCCTGAATTTGGCCTTCACCCCCAAAAAACCATCCCTACACCAAACAAAGAGGCTGCCCAGGATAGGGGATCCCAGAATCCAAATTCCCCAGCCAGAGGGACTCCCACAGCCACCAGCCAGTAACAGGAGCGCAGGTGTGACATTTCCTGGGATGTGGCTTCATCCCAGAACCGGCTATCACCCGTGGTTATCTTGAGGGGGATTTTTGGGGCGAACCCCAGCTCTGAGGGGGGGTCCCCACCTTCTCTGGGGGGGCAGCGAGGCCCAGCCACCCCCAAAACCCAGCAGTGGCGCAGAGGAGCAGCACAGCCCAGGAGCTCTGGAGCAGCATGATGGGAATGGAGGGGGTCCTGTGGGGAAACGATAGTGGGGAAAACCCCTCCGTATTCATGTACAAATTACAGGATCCCCCTCCCCAAATTTCAGGGTCCCTCCCACCAGGGGAACCTCCGATAGTCCCAGGAATGCTGGTGGGTGTGGAGCACCCTAGAATGGGAAGCAGCTCCCACATCCACCGACAAATTAGGGGATTTGGGGACAAATTAGGGATCCCCTCAGAAAGTACCCCCACAAACCCGTGGATGCCGGCGGGTGGGGGAACCTGTGGGGCCAGGAGAGTGGGAAGCACCTCCCACATCCACGGACAACTTTGGGGACCTCCCTCACGGCCAAATTTAGTCCCCACCCCCGTGGTGGGGGTCCCCTCGTAGCCCCAGGGGTGCCAGGGTTCCACTGAGCGCTGCGGGGAAGGTTTGGAAAAGGTTTGGGAAAGATTTGGGAACTCCCTCCAGGACCCCCACGCGTGCACCTGCGCGAACCGCGTGGCGCCAGCGCCTGCGCAGTTTCCCCTCTTTACACTGTTCACCCCGCCCCTTAACAGCGGGTCCACCAATAGAAGAGCGGGGCGTGGCTGACTGAGCCCAATCAGCGCCGGGGGTGTGGCTCTGGGGCGTGGCCTCGCGCAGCGATGGAGGAGCCCGGGCTGTGGGTCGGGTTCGTGGGCGCCGGGCGCATGGCCGGGGGGCTCGTCCGGGGGCTGCTGCAGGCGGGTACGGCACGGGGGGCGGCCGCGACACACGGGCAGGGAAGGGGACACGGCGACAGTCCCGGTCTGGCGCCTTCCCGGCGTGTCCTGTGGCGCGGGGAAGTGTGAGGGGACATGGGGACAGCGCTGCTCCGGACGCTCCCTGCACTCCCTCCCCTGCTGTCCAGTGGAGGGACGTGGGGACAGTCGCGTCCTGACCCGTTCCTAAAGTGTCAGCACGTCCCCGGGTCCCTGTCCTCCAGTGCAGGGATGTGGGGACAACCCTGTCCTGGCCCGTTCCTAAAGTGCCAGCCCGCCCCCGAGTCCCTGTGCTCCATTGGAGGGACATGGGGACAGCCCTGTCTTGGCCTATTCCCAAGGTCCCAGCCCTTCCCCAGGTCCCTGTGTTCCATTGGAGGGACACGGGGACAACCCTGTCTTGGCCTATTCCAAAGGTCCCAGCCCTTCCCCGGGTTCCTGTCCTACACTGGGAGGACATGGGGACAGCCCTTTCCTGCCACTCTTCCCCTGGGGACCGTGCTCTTCCCTGGTGTCCCTGTCCCACAGATTAGTGTGGGGACATTGGGACAGCCCTGTCCTGCCTCTCCCTGACATCCCTGTCCCACAGATTAATGGGGGGACATGGGGACAGCCCTGTCCTATCCCAGTCCCTGTTCCCCAGATCAGTGTGGGGACATTGGGACAGCCCTGTCCTATCCCAGTCCCTGTTCCCCAGATCAGTGTGGGGACATTGGGACAGCCCTGTCCTATCCCTGTCCCCCAGATCAGTGTGGGGACATTTGGACATCCCTGTCCCACAGACAGTGAGTGCCCAGCCCTGTCCCTGCTCCCTGTGTGTCCCAGATTGTCCCTGTCCCTTAGCACAGTGTGGGGACAGCCCTGCCCATTAGGGCCACTTCCATTGTCACTACACCCTGACACGACTGGTGCCAGCCCCCTTTGCTCCATGTCCCCCTTTGGGATCCTCCTGGGATTGTAGGAATCACATCCTGGTGGAAATTGGGGTGTCTGGGCTGTGCTGAGGTGTCCCCCCAACCCTGGGGCCACCCTGGCCGCTCACCCCATGCCCTGTGTCCCCCAGGGAAGGTTCCAGCCAGCAACGTCCTGGCCAGCGCTCCCTCGGACAGAAACCTGGGCACTTGGCGGGTGAGTGGGGCCCGGGGGTGGGAGATTTTGGGGTCAGAGTGGGCTGGTCACTGTGGGCTCAGAGCACCCTTTCCCCCACACTCAGGAGGGGTTTGGCTCATCCTTCTCAGATCTGGGTGAGATCCAGGCAGAGCCTTTGTGACCAGAGCAGGTCCCCAGGCTGTGTCTCTGCCTCTGGATGTGCCGTTACCGTGGGGATGCTGTTTTTGGGATGCTATTTTTGGGGGTGCTGATCCCTCTCTCTGTCCCTGGGCAGGAGTTGGGCTGCAGGACCACGCACTGCAACCTGGAAGTGATGTACAGGAGCACCCTGGTCTTCCTGGCCACCAAACCCCACATCCTGCCGGGTGTCCTGGAGGAGATCCGTCCTGCTGTGGGGCCCCAGCACATTGTGGTGTCACTGGTGGCTGGTGTCACCATCCAGACACTGCAGCGGGTGAGACTCCTCCTTCTCTTTCTCCTTTTCTCCTTCTCTCCTGCTCCTCCTTTTCTCCTTCTCCTCCTTTTCCTTCTTTTCTCCTTCTCTCCTGCTCCTCCTTTTCTCCTTCTCCTCCTCCTTTTCCTTCTTTTCTCCTCCTTCTCTCCTTTTGCTTCTGTTTTCCCTTCTTCTCCTCCTCTTCCTCTTCCTTCTCCTCCTCATCCACCTCCTCCTCCTTCTCTCCTTTTCCCTTGCCCACCTCCTTCTCCCCTTCTCCTTCTCCCCTTCTCTCCTTCTCTCCTTCTCCTTCTTCTCCCCTTCTCCTTCTCCATCTCCTCCTCCTATCTATCTTCCTTATTTTTCATCTCTCATTCTCCTCTTCCTCCTTTCCTCCTCCTCCTCCCTGTTTGCACTCAGGCCCATGCAGGACACACCTCTGTGGCTTTGTCCCTTCCCAGCTGCCCCTCCAGCTCCTTCTCTCCTTCTCCTTCGTTTCTTCTCCTTCTCTCCTTCTCCTTCTCCTTCTCCTTCTCCTTCTCCTTCTCCTTCTCCTTCTCTTCTCCTTCTCCCTCTCCCTCTCCTCCTCCTCGTCCTCCTCCTCCTCCTTCCTCCTTTCCTTTCTCTCTGCCTTATTTTTCATCTCTCATTCTCTTCCTCCTTTCCTCCTCTCCTTTCTCCACCATTTGCACCCAGGCCCACACAGGACACGCCTCTGTGGCCTTGTCCCCTCCCAGCTGCCCCTCCAGCTCCCTCCCCGTGCTCCTCCCTTCTCCGCCAGCCTGATGGGTGACACCGCCCGGTGTCTCCGGTCACCTTTGGGTGCTCCCCATGGCTGGCCCCCCTTCTCCCATCCCCATCTTTTCCCAGCTCCTCCCTCCCGGGACCAAAGTGCTGCGGATCATGCCCAACCTGCCCTGCGTGGTGCAGGCAGGGGCCATGGTCTTTTCCCGG